CAGTTAGCTACATTCTGGCGCCTCATGCACCATTTAAGGTGGAACGGGAAATTTCAAACACGAAGCTGGGTAGCGACGTCAGCCTCGTGGAAAAGTGAACGTTGAGAAACATTTTACAAGAAACTGTTCTACTTTTGTGGAAAAGTTTAGTGCCAGAGATGTGAGAAAAGCGGCTATAGCTGAGCTAAAGCTTAAAGCAGAGCAAAGTGCATCTGCGTTTTTGTTTATATTAGGTTACATTTGTTAGCCTGTACTAGTACATTAGCACATACTGCGACATATTTACAGCCAAGTTGGTAAAAAAGTGTTGTGGCTCCTTCCAAGGTGGTTTTATTGAAAGGACAACATTTCTCTGCTTCACATTTGGGTTTCCGGCCCCTGCTATAGTGATTGCGTCAGGGAGCTCAGAAACGGATTTTTTGCATCAAGCCAAACTGCAACTGGCCACCTGTCACACCTTGAAAAATCTGCATATATTGAAAGGTACTCCTCCACAAGCACACTGTAATTAACAGTGAATATTTAACACTTTGCAACAAATGTTTTTACTCTGCGGTGTGTACACAGGGTCCTGAAACCAGGAGCATCACAGTGGAACATTGCTGATTTCACGTAATTTATTCAAGGCAAATTGTGCGGCTTCATTTTAATTCAGTGTTACACCCCAGCAAACTGATATCTTTACATACCAGCAGCTGAATTTAAAACGGGGACAAGTGGAAAACCATGCCCAGCTCACTTTCCATCTGTCCTTTCATTTTGTGACATTTGAGAGAAAAGAAAGCTTTAGGGGATTAAGCAAAGGCTGCAAATTGTCAAAGCACCTGGGTTTATCCCCAGAGTAATCTGTTAAAACCTGACCCTGGCTCATGTCCCCTCTCATGTGATGTGGTCATCGCTACAAACGACTGCCGGCTATTACACACAGGGATGACATGCATGGAGGGCAGCTTTGATGAGTGTTATATAACTGTAGAGCTCAGTTGCTGTCATGAGTGTATGTAATATAATTTGATAGAGCATCTTATTGTTTTGATACTACCCAGTTGTGTATACACTGATCCTTTAAAAACCGCCTCCTTGTTTCTACACTCTTTGTTTATTTTATCAGCTCCACTTACCATGTAGGAGCACTTTGTAGTTCTATAATTACAGACTGTAGTCCATCTGTTTCTCCACATGCTTTGTTAGGCTCCTTTTAGCCTGTTCTTCAAGGGCCAGGACCCCCACAGGACCACCACAGAGCAGGTATTGTTTGCTGATCATATTGTTTATCATTCTCAGCACTGCAGTCACACTGATGTGGTGGTGGTGTGTTAGTGTGTGTTGCGCTGGTACGAGTGGATCAGACATAGCAGGGCTGCTGGAGTTTTTAAACATTCACTGTCCACTCTATTAGACACTCCTACACAACACATACTAACAACACCGCCACGTCAGTGTCACTGCAGTACTGAGAATGCTACCACCCAAATAATACATGCTCTGTGGTGGTCCTGTGGGGGTCCTGACTATGGAAAAACAGGGTAAAAGGGGCTAACAAAGTAAGCAGAGAAACAGATGGACTACAGTCTGTAATTGTGGAACTACAAAGTGTGTCTGTCTGCTAAGTAGAGCTGATGAAATGAGTGTAGAAAGTGTTACACTTTCTTTGAAGGTTACCTACATACCACATACAGTTCTGTGCAAAAGTATGAGGCACCCCAGGAAATTATATTTTAAAAATTTATTTGGGCAGTAAGTGTGTTTGCTCAGGAAAAAAACATTAATATTAGAAAAAATACACATAATATCAATACAATACAAAGTAATATTATGTGTGAATGTGTAACCATATACACAGCTCTTCTTGTGGCAGCCCAGAAATAAATTTATTTTATTGTTAACATGGTATGTTTTATTAGCATGATAAACAGTATGCTTCTCTGAGCGCATCATGGAAATCATCAGTATTAAAGATCACTGACCAACTGCATGTTTCATTATAGAAAGGACATAATTAGCTCAGTTTAATTGGCTTTAGTGTGGCCCATCATGTGAAATGTTGAATACAAATCATTGCACTCAGCTTTTCATGGCAGTTTTTGAATTTGGCGTTACTATAGCACGTTGGGGCAGCACGGTGGCGCAGTGGGTAGCGATGTTGCCTCACAGCGAGAATGGCCTGCATTCGATTCCCGGCCGGGCGTCCACGGTCGTTTCTGTGTGGAGTTTGCCTGTTCTCCCTGTGTCTGCGTGGGTTTCCACCGGGTTTTCCGGTTTCTTCCCACAGTCCAAAAACATGCAGTCAGGCCAATTGGACATGCTGAATTGCCCCTAGGATTGTGTGAATGTGTATGTCTGTCTGTCTGCCCTACGATGGACTGGCGAACTGTCCAGGGTGTATCCTGCCTTCCGCCCAGTGACAGCTGGGATAGGCTCCAGCATCCCACCATGACCCAGAAGGATAAGCAGTTTAGATGATGTATGTATGTATGTATAGCACGTTGTCCGTGTGTCATGATACATGTATCATGAAAATGTCTTAAAGTATTGTGATATGATATTTTTGCCATATCATCCCTTAATGTCAACCACTGTTTTGCTGAGTTTTAAACATTTTGCTTGAGACTGTACATAGTCAATGAATATTATAGTATGAGTATTTATTGAAAGCTTATGTGAGTAATCACAAAATGACATAAGATTTTTTATGACGTAACTGACATTGTATTGACATAAGCGGCCTTCAAATACAATGACAGATATTTGTTTCATTTATAACACTGTTATGAAGCATCATTCCCAAGTAATAGACCTTATTACCTAGCACCAGATATCAGTTCTATATACTTAAAAAGATCGTTCTTCAAGGGTTCTTTAGTAAGAAAAATTGTTCTACATAGAACCATGAACACTCAAAGAACCCTTTGGATGATTAAAGGGTTCTTTGCATCATGAACGATTTTTTCAGATTGATGGAGAATGCAATGTATATGATTTTATATGGAACCTTTTTGAAAGGGTTCTAAATAGCACCAAAAAAGTTCTTCTATTTTTACAAGTGTGACATTGTAACAATAGCAGAACCCTTTTTGGTGCTATACAGAACCATTTTCTTTACTTTTCTTTACTCTTTTCTTTTAATGTGGTTTGTTGTGGAGAAACTTACTGACTCTGATTTCTTTACAGTGGTGGTGATAGGAACCAGGCCTATCAATGGGCAATAAGCCCTTCAGATGCCTGATTCCTATCACCACCACTATAAACAAATCTGACTTGGTAAGTTTCTTTAGAACAGAGCATCACATTAAACCGTGCTGACTGACTTTGTTTACATCTTAACCATTTAATTATCCAGAATTTTAAAAATTAGTAGAAGTCCTTTTTAAGACCACTTATGTCAATACAGCATCATTTGCTTTATAAAACATCTTGCAATTATTTTCAAAAGCTGTGTGTATATATATATATATATATATATATATATATATATATATATATATATATATAATGCTTTATGAATGTTATTCAGTGCCTATGTAAGTTATGATGCACCTATGTACATTCCTAAAAAATATGGTTCTTCAAGGGTTCTTTACTAAAGGGAATGGTCCTATTTAGCACCAAAAACGGTTCTGCTATTGTTACGATGTCTAGCTATTTTAGTGCTACATAGAGCCATTTTCAAAAAGGTCGTATATAGAACCATACAGAACACATTCTCTGTCAATCTGAAGAACAATTTCACTGTGCAAAGAACCATTTAAGCATGAAGAGGTTCTATATAGAACTCATGGTTCTGAGTAGAACCCTTTCTTTTACTAAAGAACCCTTGAAGAAGCATCTTTTTTACGTTTGCAATGCGTCCTAGAGAACAAGACAAAGCAGTCAAATGCGGAAATGTATGTAGAAATTATACTGACCCTGATTATATTATGTTGTACTTCTTAAGCTATACATGGAAACCATGTGTCCATGTATTTTGAATGAGGGATTGTGGCAGCTAAATCTGATTACATCTGGTGGTGGGCGGTATGGATTTACTCCCTACTTTTGCTTTTGCGCTCTTCCAGTTTGCTGTTTTTGCTTTGAGTGCATATTCCAACTTGTGGCGTAGGAGGGAGCCTTATTCAGGAGGACAGTTTAATCTTTTACCATAGCATATTCAGCACAGTGAAACAGCAGTTTAATGCACAGTGCTTGACATGAATGGTATCGCACATACGCAGCCACTGCAGCTGTGTCAGTGCAGCTTCTCCTGTGCCTGTCTTTGCCTACTTTAAAATCTGGTTTGTCGAAAAAGGCCTAGAACACTCTGCACTCAATCCGGGCGCACTGTCTGGAACATACATGGCCACGGAACCTTAGATTTGTTTTTTTTCTGCACATGTTTTGCTTGAGGGATTAATGTCATGAAGTTGAGCAGATTGAAGAGACTGGTTTCCCACTCTTTAACACACTCGCATCTGTTTTACTCAGTATCTCATATGTTCACATGCAATGATCGGATGCTATTGACCTAATTAGATTCACCCTTAGAGGATTAGATCTTGACATGAATGTCTTCCTCCTCCGTCTTCTTACTCCCACCTCTGTCCTCAAGACACCTCAGGCCAGAGACAAGAGCTCACGTTGGCAAGAACCTCCATACATTCATGCCATCTTGGTTTCAAAACGTTCAAAGCATGTGATCAAAAGGATTATCCTCAGTGATTATTTTGTTTGCCACATACAACCAAGCCTTCACTCCCACACCACCATGTGCCTGTCAAAGACAATGTAAGCAAAACCCTAAGCTGTAGATGTCCTGCTGCTTTGAGAGCTTATAAGAGATGCTGAGTTTTAAAGCAAGACTTTATTGGAAAATCCACACCTGGGGGAAATTTATTGAGCTGTTTCTTGAAATGTTGAGGAACACAGTACCTACTAATTTTAATCTGTCCTTTCCAAAGATGTTTTTTTTTTTTCACCAGTACACTATCATTCATTTCTGTTTATTCTTACCATGCTATGTCATTGGGACATGTAAAGGACTCTACTCAAGTGCTTTGCAGTCCTAATTTTGTAGCGGCAGGAAATTTTCAACACATGCATACCTCCTTGACATCCACATAAAGGTCCACAGTTCAGGCAAGTATGATTTCTACTGTTACAACTATGTACTACACATTTTCATCAAATTCCTTAATTCTGGTCAGCTGGGGCGTGTCCCATTGCCCTGTGGGCTCTTCTGCCATAAGGGCTGCTGTCAAGTGCCCGTTCTTGTCTTGCATGAGTGGCTCGAGGAAGACCACGTGTCTTTCAGGGTTGGATTTGCTCTTCTGCTTCAGCTCTGCACTCGGTGGAGCTCCAAAGATGGATGCCAGAGTGCAGCGGTCCTCTCCGAGGCCAGAGATGGTTGGTGAGGGTGGCGGAGGTTTGCAGCAACCACAGCGACATGGAGTTAGGTAAAGATACATAAGTATAAGCACCAGAGTGACAATACAGCCCAGAAGGGTGGTGTAGCCTGTGCTGAAAGTTTCCTCTGACAAGCGTTGGGGAACAACCGTCAGGTTTACCTCACGGGATTCATTAATCATCCTGACTGTGTCCACAGCTATGCACTGGTAGATCCCTGAGTCCGCTGACTGGACAGCTAAGATTTCCAGGCTGCCATCTTGGTTCAACCGCAAGGTACCATTCTGGATCAACAAAGTTAAGTTTTCCTGGTGGGGAATGACCCAAGAGTAGGAGAGGACCACACTGCTGAGAGTACCAGTACAATCCAGTCTGACCTGTTCCCCCTCATACACCATCATATCTGCCTTTGGGGAGATTAGAGAGATCATCTTCTCAATGGTACAGTTCTCGAAGAAACGAGGGCTACGGAGAAAACGTATGGAGGTGAGAGGTTCCCCATACATCCGGCACAAATAGTCGTCCTTGAAATCTCTGATGGCCTCGTAACCCTCTTTGTCCCAGTGCCAGAACATGCGGTAGGTAGAGCAGTCGCATGCCAGGCTGTTGTTATGGATAAACAAACCTCTTTGAACAGCCACAGGCAAGAGGACAATGTCATCTAGAGGCAGTCGAGACATGCGGTTAGAGGAGAGGTCAAGGGCTGCCAGCTTGGGATGGCTGTGCTTGCGGATGGAGAAGAAGGGGAAGTCCGTAATCTGGTTGATGCTCAGGTAGACCTTCCGGAGGTTGCTCAGCCCCATCAGGGCATTGCTCTCCACGCGGGTGATACGGTTGTTGTACAGCAGCAGTTCCTCCAACCCCAGAAGGTCTTGGAAGTGGTGCCTCGCCACCACCTGAAGGCGGTTGGACGAGAGGTCCAGATGGCGCAAGGTGCTGGCATTGTGGAAGGCCGCAGGGCTGAGCAAAGAGATTTGGTTGTGGGACATACGCAGAACATCCAGCCTGGCCAGTCCATGGAAGCTGCCTGCTGCGATCCATGTGAGCCGATTATGGCTCAGGTCCAGGATGGAAGTGGTGGGCGGTAGCACAGGGGGAAATCTGTCCATACCCAGAGAGCCGCAGTTGACTATATCCGAGGGACACAGGCACCCTGAAGGACAGTTAGCCTCCGAGAAGCCGAGCCAGAAAGAGAACAAAACTAACAAAGCTGTTGAGGTCATGCCTCTGGTGTGGAATCACATGAAATAGAGCCAGCACAGTTGGACAGCCACTGATTTCCTAAAGAACTTCTTTTACATGTGAATGTCTTAATCCAGCTTTGTCCCAGTTTGTTTTTGTGTGAGTTTTACAGGGTTTAAGGGCTGTATGAGGTTCTAGCTGTGCAGTGATTGATTTAAAGCAATACAGAAATCATTAAAAGTGGCAAGCATAACATTTATGCTCCATATTTATAAATTTTAGAGCAGTATAATATTTATTTTATACAGTGCATAGAAAGTAATGCCAGAGAAAGGATCAATCCGGCAAGTCTTTAAGTTTTCTTTACAAAGATGTGAATAGGTGTGCACATCAGTTCAGAATGTGTCTCATACTCACAAGATGTCTCTTCTAAGTTTCTCCATTGTTATAATCCAGTGTATGCCTAAAAAATGGCTCAAGCAAATGCCAACCTTTCTTGCTTATTTCCCTTCCCAGTCATAGTCCACAAAGTGAGCAACAGGAAGGTCATTCCTTAACGTCCATCGTCCTCTTCAGCTTGAGATTCCCTCATGTCTGAGATGTATCCATCCTCCGTCAGACCGTGGGTAGCAGCCGACTTCTCAGAGCAGCAGAACAGTAGTAATCTCTGGCTTTGCTTTCCTTCCTCTTTTACCTATTTAGAGTGCAGCTCTCTCTCTTTTGCTCACTCCAAGTGATAATTCCTGATTTGCTCTCTCTCTCTCTCTCTCTCTCTCTCTCTCTCTCTCTCTCTCTCTCTCCCTCGCTCCCGCCCCTCTCTCGCTTTCTGTCTCTCGCTGTCTCCGTCTCTCTCTCTCGCGCTGTTTGTTTTTAATCCCCCGTGGCACTGTTTCTCTCCACATCCCTTTCACTTTGGGTCTACGCATTTTAACTCTCTCTGACTCCTTCTTCCTCCTGAGGAACGGAGTTTTCTGAGGGAACATAGATCATCACATATCTTTTCTTATCTAAACTGTCCTGATAGCATTTGGTGTGGGATGAGAGGGAATTTGTCTGTATAATGCACTTTGAAATTTCAGCCTTGACTCCCACTCCTTTTTCTCCTGCTCCTCTCCTCAGTTGTTGGCAGCTGTTGTCTGAGTCTTGGTCATGGTGGCCCAGAGGCTCCTCGTTCCTGTCACAGCGCATCAGTCTTGCTTTGATTGCACTTCTCCATGGGCCGTTGGCACAGTGTGATAGTGTCACCCACACACGATTAACTTCCAGAGAGCAACAGCACCACGCTCTTCCAACCTATGCACAAATGCTAATGTGTGAATATTGGCATTTACTTAGCTTTTCTACCTTTGTATCGATTCGATTCTTGTCGGCCACTGTCCTTTATAAAACCTTATGAAGGTTTGGAAGAGAAACAAAGTGGATTTTTACTAAATCTTGAGTCCATTCAGAAGTCACGACATATGTGAAGTAATGTGAAGATGTGAAATGGGATTAGAAGGTTGGTTTTATTAAGGTACCACGATGTAAGGGTGCCTATTCCACAGGGAAGGCTGACACATGGCATGACTCCCAGCTGTATGACTGGCACCATCACCACAGCATGCTCCTACACGCTAATCCTTCTGCCCACGGCATCTTGCAGGTGGTAAAAATTGAGATAAATTGGGCAGAAGCTTTTAGAGTACAACAGCCCTTCCCTACAGAAGTGAAGGGAACTCTGAATTTCTCAATGAGACCAAATGGGACAGCTCCTAAACCCTTAGAAAAGTTCTTCAAGGGTTCTTTTGTAAAAGCAATGGTTATATTTTCATTGCTTGTATCTCCAAAATGGTAACTTTACAGAAGAGAAGGAATAAACATTCTTCATTTTCTTAAGTAAAAATTAAAGTAACAAGATTTTTGTAATTTTAGGCCATTTCTTTTGGTCCATTCATCATCATTTTTGTACACAATGTAAAGGATATTTCGTTTGAGAATTATGCAGAAATGTTACAAAAATGGATAATATAGAACCACAAATTATTTAAAAAATATTTGAATGCATAAAAGGTTCCTTACAAGGTTAAAAGGTTGTTCTTTATGATGGAGAAATTTTGGACATGGTTTTCTTTTTATTTTTAAATAGTTCTATACAGCACCAAAAAGGTATTGCTACAAGTCATAGAACCCCCTTTTTTTTGGTGTCATACTCATTCTTCTGCATCTGTACTGGATAATCTCTTCCTTAAATGGGTTTACATTTCAAATGTTTTTTGCTGTATTCTAGTTGTGGTAAATTACCCAACAGCTGGTGTTTCTGCCTGGTTGCAAAGCCTAGTAACAAAGCCCTTTTTAAAAAGATGAGCAATTCCAGGACCCAGAAACAGGGATATCAAAGTTTGGAAAAACACAGTATCCAGCAACGCATGTTAGAACCTTTGTAGGTTAAGGTACCTTCATAATTCCACCATTAGCAAATAAAGGGGGAGTAGAGTACTAATACCATACACAGTACTACTTATGCACATCTTTTAATGCTTAAGCTGAAATACTTTCATAAATCAAACATTAGCAAATGAAAGCAAGGGAAAATATTAATGACATGCACAATATTACCTAGAAATATCCTGTTTTTCTAAATGGATAACCCCCTTTGCACCAAAAATGATCACATTTTTTTGCTTGCTCAGAGAAACAGACTATTAATATGTTTATCTGAGAGTATTACATTGTGAAAGACAGCCTGGTTTAGTATAAAAACTTTGTTTAGTGAAGAGTGCCCTCTAGTGGTTGACACATGTCATTAAGAGCAGAGGAACTGGACCACTGTTTCCATATCCCCACTCTTTATTGGTGAAACTCAGAAAATCAAGTAATCTGTAAAGTTATTCGAACAGTCCTGCGTGACTGTGTGACTGTGAACACAAAGCGTGTGATCTCTTCTATTTGACTCTTCAAAATATAGAAGGCATTTACTAGATTTTTGCTTCACAGTAAAATGATGTTTGATATTTAAAACTAAGCTAAATCCTGTCTTATTTACCGTGTTATTTACCATCTTGTAATGCTTGTGGCCAGGCCAAGTCCAACAGGCGAATTGTCTCAAGCTTTTCTGCCCACTCTCTCTAAAGGAACATATTTAATAGAGATTTGGTGAACAGATGGCAGGCCTGGTATTTTAAAACTGTAGGCCTCCTTCATCTCGTCTACTAAATATTACTAGGAACATTTTAAAGGAGGATTTCATTCAGATTTCATCCCTCATTAAATTAGTGACATCCTACCAGGAAGAGTTAAGACGAAATTATTATAACGGATAACGGGGACCATAAAAATTCCTTCTTCTCTGATCTCTTTGTACTATAGGGGTCGTTCATTTACTTTTTCTTAAATAAGGGCAAGAGATCGAAGACTTGTATGATTGGCTGGATCAAGAAAATCTTGATTTCTTTTTCCATGCTAGTAGGATTTCGGGATTTAGAGACCTCTCTGGTGGAAATGTGGAAATGTGTGTGTGTGTGTGTGTGTGTGTGTGTGTGTGTGTGTGTGTGTGTGTGTGTCTGTTGGCTTTGTTTATTCGAAATGTCACTATTTCCTTCACTTATATGAACCTTTCTACCGAATAAGTTCAACCTGTTCAAAAAAACAACTAAGTACTCATACTTTAGATGATGTATTTAAACCCAATGCATTAACTGACATAATAATAAGCTAAATATATACAAAATCATCCTTTTTTATTTTCTGTTGTGAGGTGTCTGTCCAAAACCTTAACCCATAAATTTCAACTTGTGAAAATAATACTTAATTTTTTCAATGTTTTTTCAATATATTTTTTTTCTTTCAAAGTTGAAAGATTTATCATGAGTTTAATTTTTATTTTTTATTTAAAAAGCTTTATTTTAAAAATGCTGCCCCACATTTTCATGTCACTCTGAAACCAGCGCTGCGTCCCAAACCGCATACTAGCACACTAAACAGTATGCAAAAAATATGCTATTAGAAGTGCACTTCAGTGTAGTATGTAAAGTATTGAATTGTGTGGTTTGGGACACAACACTGTTCCTCTAAAATGCAGGGCATATGAGTTTTAGTCTATAGGCCGAGCCTTATTTTAGCCACTGCCCTGTATTTTAGAGCAGAGAGTGAGAGTGCATCCCTGTTCCTCAGGGCCACATGGTGAGAAGGTAGATCTCACTGAAGTAAATGTGTCCCAAATTTGAAAATCAGTGTATAACCTTCAAAATTGTCTTGTCTGAAACACATATTTTCTGCAACTAAATCAACATTTATTTTTTAATGGAAAAAAATATGTATGTGCGGCTGTTTAAAGTGGCTAATTTTGAGCATAATTTAAAAGCGCTAGCCAGTTCATGACTAGCGCTTTTAAATTATGCTCAAAATTAGCCAAAATTGTTACTAGTGAAACATTCGGTAGTATTATGATTGTTTTGGTAGTGACAAAATGGAATGTCCAAACATTTGTTTAAATAAACATAATGAAGGTATAGTGGCATTCAAAGCAAAAGAATTTTAGTCTAAAATCCAAGTCGGTTAAATGTCTGAAATGTGTTTGACCTCGGACTTGGAACCAGTTTGGTAGGATGATCCGTATGTTCCCAATGTGGCATTGGTAAATGATAAGGAGCCAAGATAGATTTTTCCTAGTGGACATTGTGTCCGGCTGGATTTTTTTACAAACTCACACTGCTGTGAGTGATTTTCCATAAAGAAAATGAGAAATGATTGGAGGTCATAGTTTTTTAGCTTTTAGGTTAGATTAACTACTTCATCCAGGCCATGTTATCATACTTACCATCACATTGTTTCCATTTCCACTCTGCAGCGCTCCCCTCCACCTTTCTACATCAAAGATTGTTCCCATGGTGGTCATTTTGGAAAGATTGCTGAAGTAGTCAGGCAGTGCTGGGAAGAGGAGACCCATAACTGAAGCATCGATCTCCTCATGCTCTCCTTTCACACAGTGCACTCCTCCCAGGTGAATGAGGCTGAATGATGGTCAGCAGTTCCTTGTTACTGAAATCAATGTCCAGCAGTGCACAGAGTATACTAGAGTCTGAGAATAGGAGCACTACAACACTAAAAACTGGGTCTGGATCTGTGTGAGTGTGAGTTTGCAAAGTCCATTAAACCAAGGAGAAACACACATAGTGAATGAAGACCCCATCAGCTCCCATCCGATTCGATACACTCAAAAACTGAAAAATACTTTTCATTTTCATTTTCACTGTTCTTTTGATTCTGGTGAACGCTTTTGTTCTGTGATTACAGGTCCTTCACCACTGTGTCATACTTTTCATACAAAGAACATTGGTGGAGCTCTATGACTCATTTTAGATATCACAATATAGGTGTGGTCCAATACACTAAAATATGACATGGTAACCAAAAACTTTTGTGCTAACGTGTGCTGTTAATGATAATGTTAGTGACATATGACAAGCCATTTCAGCTTCAAATCCGAAGATTTTCATTATCAGAAATTCAATTTGAACAAGTAAAAATACTATAAGTACTGATAAATAAACCTGAGTTATTTTGATGATGTCATTGCCAATCCGGCCAGACGCCTGCTATAGCACTATGCACTTTTGGAGGAGCGGCAGAGACCTCTGGTGAGAACTGCATAACGCTTTACGGCACCACGTCACACTCCAACAACTATGGCTCTTCAGCCAACTATAAGAAGAAGCCAGCTCAGTATTCCCAGCATGGACATCATGGCAGAGGCTGCCAAAAGACTGAAGAAGACATCGTCAGAGGAAGTGAGGGAGAGAAAAAGAGAGAGAATGTAACCTTATCTGTGTCATCCCTGTCTTGTTGTTTTTCTGGATGCCAAAAGTCATTTAACCTCAGTCTTGTTTCAGGCTGGCATGCAAAGAAATAAATTCATCCCGTGCCAAAAAGTTTTGTCAGTCTTTATCAATTACACACCAAATAAGCCTTAAAAGTTTGCAACCTCTTGTAATAAAATCCTTTAATATCACTCCACCTTGTAAATCAACATGGTTCTTTCTCTTCTGATGTTGTCTTTGCTGGTGTTGTGCCTGATTCTGTCTCGCCTGCAGAATCCGACTCCCCTTATCGTGCATGCCTGTCACGCAGGCATATGGACGCTACAAATTACACTCATGATTTCTGTTATTTACACATAGAAACATCCAATATCACAAGTGTAATATTTACCATTCATGCCTGCTTGACATGCGTCAATGAGAAAGGGGTCGGGTTCTGCACCCTTCAACTCGTCCACAAATGCTTGTGTACGTGGGGGGGGCTCACAGTGTGATTTGTATTTACAACAGTGGTGTAGAAGTGAAATACACTCTGCATCTATAGGGGGAGCCCAGAAGCAAAAAATACCCATTCTCGTGTAATGCTGCTTTAAATGGCACCTTTTAAAGTATGCTAATTGTTTGATTGCTGCTCCCCTGCTTATGTTGTCTCAGAATTTAAATGGCCCACACCCTATATTTTTCATGTATTTTACTTTTTTTCCCTTAAGGTCCACTTAAAACGTTTGAGTGGGTTTATATACCAAAACAGTAATAATTCTTTTTTTGCATGGTTATTTTCCAACCTTTCTTGGCAGACGTCACAATTATTTTTTCAGAATAATTTCCATATATGGACTGTAGTGACTAGGGAGTGAATGGTGTGTTATAAAACTAACAATGTTTGCATAAAAAATTGATAATTGGAAAATTTGGGTTTCCATTAGAAAGAGGGGAATACATCCTCGTCTAGTCGACACCGGATGCCAAAACAATAACACAACACAAGCAATATGAGTAGATGATAGGATTTTACAATTAATATACAATACTGACCATAAGAAAAAGATATTTCTCCTAAAATGTACTAGATGATACAAGCGATGTCCAGCTCTCTTCCATGAGATTATAAAATTTCTTCCATTTAACCATATTAGCCGCAAAGAGGTGTGTAAACTTTTACTGGAATAAGGAAATTCTCCCGACTATTATTCAGTGGATCTCAGAGGTTACTTGTGCATACTTCCTGAAAAATTAACCTTTGACATGAGAAGCAAATCACAGTTTTTTTTTTCATAACATCTGGGACCCTTGACTGTTCTGATGTATTATATACTGAGAGAATCTGAACTGTTTCTCCTTACAAACTATTTATGTAACATTGGCTGGTATAGTGTACTGACAAACAATACACTAGCACATTTCTAGTTATTATAAATGTGTAATAACATACTATGTAATAGTTTTAAAAATGTTCCTTTCCTCTGCAGTTTGTTCATTTTATTCGAGTTTTGTCTGTATTTCCCTGTTTTTCTCTTCCATGTCTTCTCGGACTGTATTACAGTGCTACACTACTCTCCATCATTTTGTTCAACTTAAAGAAATAAAAAGAAATTTTAAAAAAGTACTGTAAATGGTGCTGTTTTTTTTGTACATTTTGGAAACTTCTATACTAGCAGTTATAATTTTGCGTGAATCCAGTTAAATTTTGCTTGGTGGGCACATCAGGAAGACCAGAATCAGTTCTATAGAGTGGTCACTGATGTCTCATCTATTACTAAGACCAGTGTTGATCCACTGCTGCCCAGCAGTAATATAAATTGTTATGTGAAAGTCCTTAAATCTTTTATGCATAAATAGGCTTGTTGTACAGTAGTTTATTGTAACACATCTACTTTCCTTCTTCTTCATAATTTTCTCCAGCATAACAAAGCCTCTATTGCAAAAATCATTGTTCTCTTTGTCTCTCCCTCTCACTCTCTCTCTCCCCCTCTCTGTCTCACACACAGTCCCATTCAGCTCTGTCACAGCTGCCGAATCTCCGTCTCCTAAATGCATGTGTGTTTTGCTTGATGATGGCCTCCACAGCAATTTGAGCTTTCTCATTACAGCCTAAATGAGGTGCTGTGGCATAATTAGTCTGCAGTTGAAGCACAGGCTGTCTTGCTTACAGCATAGAGGAGTGTGTTGTGCTCATGCCTAATGACTCGAGGACAATACAAAGGTTTATGTTCATGCTCAATTTCCAGGAATAGCGACTTAGGCATTCATCTCCCTCTTGTTAGCATGTCTGCAATTTTCCCTCTTTCACCTGTGTGTGATGTCTTTGTGTCTCTTGTCATTGTATCATCTTGTAAATGTACTGATCAAAACAAAGCTGAAGTGATGTCAGAAGCAGATGGCAACATGTTCTGTTATAAAAGATTCTTTCTTCTTCTTGATGGGGAAATAAAGGTTTCTGGCTCTGGGTCATACTCTATTACGTGCCAGTGGATCAACTTACATCACTTGAGTTCTGCATGTACACCTGGTTACTAGAATATTTTACGTTAGATTTGGTATTTAGTTGTGTGCAATGGCTCAAACAGGCTATAAACAGTGAAATAATGTAAATAATAGGAATGCACAACCGGAATCAACAAAGATCAGAATCACCTGATTTTTGCTCAGAACAAATAATCAGCAATTGGTCCATTTATTATTTTATTTTTGGCTTATCTGTGTTGAAATTTATGGTAAATAATGTGAGGTTACTGCTAAATCTATACCAACATGTCATAGCATTCTTTCCATGTAGCACTTTATTTAACATTGTAACTAGTGTTACTAGTGTTTTTCATACATTCACTTAGACCACTCAGTGGGAACTTTAGGGTTTAAAAAGGCTAATAAATATAATCATGTTTAATTTCCGCTGGTGAAAAGACCTGTTTTGTTGATTTTGTGAAAATAAATTAACATATTCTCTACACAGAACAAACTTACATGTGACATTTCCATGTAAATTTTAGTGCACAATTTTTTTGCTGAGTTTAATATATTGGTGGAAATAAAACATAAAAAAAGAAAATGTGCCAAAACAAATTTTATGCTTTTTTTTCCCAGTACGTTAAATTCAGCACCTAAACAGTGATTGTGCATTAAAATATGCAAAAATGTGTTCTCTGTAGAGGATGTATTTAACTTATTTCCACCAGCAGCACTGCTGTGTCTGATCCACTCGTACCAGCACAACACACACTAACACACCACCACCACGTCAGTGTTACTGCAGTGCTGAGAATGATCCACCACCCAAATAGTACCTGCTCTGTGAGGGTCCATGGGGGTCCTGACCACTGAAGAACAGGGTAAAAGGGGGCTAACAAAGTATGCAGAGAAACAGATGGACTACAGTCTGTAACTGTAGAACTACATAATGCACCTATACAGTAAGTGGAGCTGATAAAATGGACAACGAGCATAGAAACAAGGAGGTGGTCATAATGTTACGCCTGATCGGTGCCCATGTCCACTACAACTTTACAAACACTCAAAGTCATTTGACTTCACACTTACAAATATACAAAAATACAAATGTACTGATAAGCATGAACAAAGATATGTTTTACAGGAACAGACGTCTCTCTGAAGGAGGTGGAGTTCACAGCAGTGGCTCTGTGGATCACCTGGAACTCGCTGCGATATGTTTTGCTAACTGCAGCGGCCGCTAGAGGGCAGCAGAGATGACTGAATGTGGGGCTGTTGGCCGGATGGGCTTTTCTAGTCGCTGTTATTTGTCAAAGGCAGAACAGATGCAGCTCTGGAGGAACCCCGGGGGCGGCAGCGGCTCTCTGTCGTGGAAATGGAAGAAGAATAATTCCGTGGTGTCTGTTCGTTGTTTCAGGGACGGAAATAGAGGCTTGCATTATGCATTCCACGGCACTCCCCAGTGTGAGCCCTGGCAATCAAAGAAGACAAATATCGATTAATCTTACGGCCTGTTGGTGCTAGTCCAGACTTTTTTTCATTTACTGGAGGCTTCTTCTCGGAGAAATAGCTGTCCTCCGGTCAGTACGTTTAAAGTTCAGTGCAGGGCGGGTGCGCGTTCAAATTTCTCTCATTATTCATTGTTAGTATTATTATAATCAATATTTTTATTTATGAAATCAAACAGCAAAGTCAACCTCTGATATTAGCCAGCCCTGCTGAAAAAAAACATAGACTCCATTAAAAGTTTCTGTTGGTTTCTGCTCTTGTCCAAATGATATTTTCCTGGTGGGTTGATTTCACAGTGTAACGGATTCAAATGGTTTACCAGGTGCTCTGGGACTGATTCCAGTTGCGTTTTGTGGTTTCTTAATGGGATCGAAAGGTGTCCCACAGGAAACTCGTGGTCTCTAATGGCACTCATTAAGCCGATTCCCATTAGAAAGGAGAAGCACCAGGTTTCAATCCTAATGGTTATAATAGTCTTTTTCCAGCAGGGAGCATATGCCCTGCACTGAATTGGAGCTGACTGTGGACAAATTTGCTCCATGAAAAATTCACTTCCCTTGATATTTTATGCTCTGATACATTTAAAAGACAAATCATCATATGCGAAGTGAAAGGAGCATGAATAAGTGCTTGTGTATTGCTCGGTGAATGGATGTACTGCATGCAGCCATCGCCATGTGCGCATCCGTCCAGCGCATCGCAGTGAGCAGGGAGGGCGAAGTGAGACAGGTTTTTTTTAACCCGCACGATTTTTTTTCCGCCCGTTTTCCACGTCCTGCGCTATGATTGGCTAGTAGTTCACTCGCCCGCTTGTGGGATTGGCTAGTAGTTCACTCGGCGCCTGTGTTTGGGAACAGCTGCCCAATCTCAGCACAGGAGGCGGGGCTTGTCGGAAGACGGGCGGGAAAGAAACGCTCGAGCCAATGGAAATATTCATGCGCCTGAGCATCTTTTTTTTTTAACGAAACCGAAAAAGGAGCTAGTTCACCGCGGAGTCCTCTCCGGCGGGGGAGAGAGTGTCAAAATGTAGTCGGGGTGAAGTTTGCCGGAGGTTACTCGTTGTCTAATGGACCGTGTGGTTGACGTTTTCGCCTGGACGGGAACAAAGTAAAGGTAATTAAAGAACCGAGAAGCGGAGGCTGGCTTCGTTTTGAAGTTTTGCTTTAACTTAGCTAGCGTGTTAGCTCGCTGGTGTTGTGTTAATGTGACGGATGCGTTATTGCAGTAAGAGGCCTACGTTTGTATCCTTTCAAGAGCTTTAGACGCGAAAAATGTGTGAGGGATAATTTTAAAAACAGTCGTTTTGGTCTGTCAAAAAAAGCAGGGCTGTTTTGGTGCAGTAGACAGGTTTTTTCCAAAGTGAACATCCTAGTGGGACCCCACTTAGTAAAAACCCCTTTTCTGTGCTGACCCCACCACAGATGTTACTGATTTCGTGGTGGACTTTTGTTTTTTTCTTATTTCACGGCGTGTGGCGAGTGTGCAGCGGTGAGACCGTAACGGTTTTTCAAATGAATTCCCAACGGATGTTCCGCGTGAGAAGCGGCGCGAGCACCAACTGTTCTTGCTCTCGCGAGCGACGTTCTGAGCAGCGGACTGTGCTGTGGGGAGCGCGTTGCTGTGGTTTTGTCTCCGCTCGGGTTTATAAAAAGCGCCTGGTAGTTTCTGCGTGTTAACATGGATTTTTCTTCGCCGAACATATGCAGGTCTGCGTTGTTGTCGTGGTTGTTCTGTGTTTAAAATCCCACAGTCACGCAGGCTTTCACTATTTTCGTCCTAAGCTCTTATAATTGCATTACTAACCTGTTGCATTGATTATTTCTTGCTGTCCCCCTTTGATCATTAATTTTCCATGTTTTTTCCAGACGTTTCGTTACAAATATGTTAATCCTCTTATTATCCCTGGGTCAATTTGACAGTATACAGTGTTTAACGTCTCTAAATGAATGAATAACATCATTTTTTGTTTCATATTTAATGACTTTTCCTTATTTAATGGGGAGAACTGGGTAAACATAAAAATAACACAGTGGCCTGTACACATATTTTATGCATCACTGTTTATCTGTATAAAATATGAGAGATATCTGTGTTTTACACACATTTGTTTTGGTTGTTTTGGATGATATTGAGGTCACTATAACAAGCAATTTTATAACCTTACCTCTGCTGTAGGGCCCTAACCTAACCTAACCCAACATAACCAAACCTAACATAACCAAACCTGTAGTAGTGCAAGAACCACCGATAGCTCACACGACATGGGGGAGAGGAAAACATAATTCCCACCAGAACTTTGATATTTCCCAAAGGTTTAAATTGCTTGGGTCAAATTTATCAAGAAGATGTGAGTAAATATGAAGATAAGAGGAGGGTTAAGAACCTTTTTAGTTCTCAGTACAGTATAAGACCCCATTTGTTCTACCTTTTATTTTGAACTCTTTCATTCTTAACATTGTCCAATTCATACACCACTACATGAATGCTATACTCACAGTGTTAAGTTCTCTACTGCCGTGTGTATCCTGAGCATGCCTCTCTCTTAGTAAAAAAGCAGTGTGGGTCTAAATATCATTAAGCAAGGAGCTCATGGGAAACTGAAGCTTTATCATGAACTCTCATCGCATAGCTGTAGCTTAGAGAATGCTACATCTGTACACTGCAGTTTGCTTTTAACTAGGTGTACTACATTACTGAATGGTTTGGTCTCGTTCTTCTCTGGTACACCCTGGAGGTAGTAATTACCACCTCATGTTGGGAAGTGATAACCCCTGCTTTCTTGGCAGACATTTGCATAATCACATGAAGTGCTGACACACTGCCTCTCCTATTTACTGTAAAAGCTGAAGTATGTATAGCAGCTTTGACATTTGGTAATTAATGAGTTTTTATGGGTTCACATTAAAAATCACCCCTTTTTGTCATAATTTGTGCTATAGACTGAGGTTTTAATGTTGGGTCTGTATCACAAACTCTTAACATATAACACAGATCAGTGTGGTCCTTAAATCTTGTAAGATCTGCAGAGAAACACCAAGCATGTAAAAGCACTGCATCATGCAAAACAGGTGAATAGATCTCAATCTTTATTCTGAAGTCAGTCTAACTGTGACCTGAGGTTAATAACCAGCCTGAGTATGAAGTAGAGGAGTGGAGGGATTCTGAGCTGAGTCATACAAAGCAACATGTAATCCAGTATTAAGGAACTGCATTTTTTCTTGCTGTGTTTCAGACAAATTTGTTACAGTTTATACCTTGATCAAATAAACACAATGGAAGAATAAATGACTAAATGTAAATGAGCAAAGCTCCGTCAGAGGGGCGCTGATGCTGACAATTTCTTTGTTATTTAGTCAGACACAATTCTGTGTCCGAGCACTTGCCAATTAATTGCTTTATCCAGTCACTGAATTTAATTAATTTCCATTGAGTGGCTGGAAGATACAAGAAGGCAGATAGGAGCAGGAGAGCGGGCTGGCGGTTAGTACTGGTTTTATGTTCCTACTGTGGGGTTGAATTTGTGGGTGATTAAAAAGCTGCACACACTCTCTTACAAATTGCACAAAGAAAAAAAAATGAGAGCGGTGCCAAGGGTCAAAGCTTTTTATAAGACAAACCCCACAACACTTAGTGGAGCAATTTAAGACGTGGTTAAGAATTGGTTTATGCTGTTAAATGCAGGGCTTGTTTTGTCTTTATTTACCTATTATTTTACTTATTATACTGATTTTTGTATATTGTATTCATGCAGAAAGTGAAGTCAGGACTAGTCTGTTTCTGATCTCCATAAAAAAGCAAGTAAACAGGGAGAAGTGTGAATGCAGTGCAAATGGGCTTTAGTGACTCACCCTTTATTTGATTGTATCATGTAAGTGTGGACTTCCTGTAGGGCAAGTTCCCTTCCTGCCACGCAGTGGCTTCAGTGGCAGTGTGCTGTTGTTGAGGAAGATGGATGGCCTATCAGCATACTCACTTAACCCCACAACCCCTAACCCCACCCAGCCCCCACAGTCCTCTTCACTTTATTAAGTGTGCAGCATTAATTAAATGCTGCTATGGACAATTAAGAGTGCATTATAGACCACAGCATACCTATCAATGGTCCGTAAAAGCACTAGACACAGGATCTCTTGTAGTTTTTATTTTTTTTAGAAAAAGTATCACAAGCACATGAACTGTTAAATAAAATGCCTTTTCTGATATGTAGCTATAGTTCTATTCCCACATCAGTAATAACTGCATAGCTTTAGTAATACTGTGCATGTGTTTTGCCTCCTGTATATGACTCAGGATGCACAGTACAATGTGAGGTTGCACCGCTGGATGCCATTTCTATAAACAATCATACATCAACAAGCTCATAAAGGCTCCTTATACTGCATACCTGCACTCTGTTTTGATGAGATGTTAATAGCAGAGAATAGCAGAGAATATATTACTGTATTATTCCAAGAAATAGAGTTTTAGTCAGGAGCATTTTGTCTGTGTGAATGTGTGTGTCAGAATGGAATTGGAGGATAGTGTAAGAGCTGTTTTACAGGGAAGCTCGACTAAATGCACTGTCACAAGCAGTAATGCTCATTTCCACTGGGCTCCTGATCATTAGAATGATAATCCTTTTCTCATTACTTTTCCTCTTTACAACGCTTTTACACAACTTTGGCAGGCATATTAGAGGAGTGATAAAAGAAGCTCCAACAGACATTTTCATCCGCTTACTCACTCGTACAGACATACAAGCATTCATGTTGGTGCTGTTCAGTACGTCATCTATACTAGGAGTGGGCGATATGTTGTGCTGGTCTGAGTGGCTCAGACACAGCAGTGCTGCTGGAGTTCTTAAACACTTCAGTGTCACTGCTGGACTGAGAATAGTCCACCAACCAGAAATATCCAGCCAATAGCATCCTGTGGGCAGCGTCCTGTGACCACTGATGAAGGACCAGAGGATGACCAACACAAACTGTGCAGCAGCAGATGAGCTATCGTCTCTGACTTTACATCTACAAGGTGGACTGACAAGGTAGGAGTGTCTAACAGAGTGGACAGTGAGTGGACACAGTGTTTAAAGACTCCAGCAGCACTGCTGTGTCTGATCCACTCGTACCAGCACAACACACACTAACACACCACCACCACATCAGTGTTACTGCAGTGCTGAGAATGATCCACCACCCAAATATTACCTACTCTGTGAGGGTCCATGGGGGTCCTGACCACTGAAGAACAGGGTAAAAGGGGGCTAACAAAGTATGCAGAGAAACAGATGGACTACAGTCTGTAATTGTAGAACTACAAAATGCACCTATATTGTAAGTGGAGCTGTTAAAATGGACATTGAGTGTAGAAACAAGGAGGTGGTCATAATGTCATGCCTGATCGGTGTAAATTGTCATGATAATGCTAAAAATAATCATATTGCTCACCCCTGATCTATAATGGTATACCACCCAGTATTGATTTTAGTAGCAAACAAGCATTCTTTTCCATAAAATAGCAGTGTGTCGTTCGCAAATCCATTAGAAACACACTGTTTAAGGTGTATTGCAGTGTGTTTTTTTCAGAAAAGAAAACAGAAGAAAGCATTTTTCTTTAGTAACTTTATTAACCCCATCAAATCTAACATTTTACTATTAATACATTTAAAGATTTTGGCTTTGTCCCCTTTAACTAATTAAAATGTGCCACTAGAGTAGTTATTAAAAATGCATGTCCATAGTTAAATGGATCAGCATGTGGAATTGGACCTTTATTTGTGCTGTTGTGTTTTCTATCACCAGATACTGCCTTTCATTATTCGATGCACTGCAGTATTTTCCGAATGAGCACACAAGCACATTCAAAACAGAACTTGGATCTGTAAGCGCTTATTATTGATAGATTGTTTTAATCAGAGTAACAATAAAAATGACTAATGTATGTAATATATTCATATTCATGTGTTTGCTTGATTAAAAAGGTCATTTGTAACAAACAAAAAGACATCACATTATTAATGGAGCAGAGTAGATTAAACTACAGAAATAACCACTCTTTTGCATTGACCTTAAAGGGCTAATGCAAACTTAAATATCATCTGATACTGTAACAAGTATCACATATATATTTGGTTG